TGGAAAGGGGCATGGTGGAGAGGAGGGAGGGAGGGAGGGAGGGACTGGGAGGGAATGAGGGATCGGGACATGGCTGGGATACAGAGTTAATAAAATGTAACTGATAAGAAAAAAATAAAATTAAAAGAAAAGTTTTAGAGCTTTAGAGTCAGTAAGAAACCCTGTATCAAGGGGCTAATGCAGAAAATGATACAGCAGGACACCTAGTCCTCTGGATTATTCACATGAATGCACATGGGTTTCCCAGTGTACACACATACATTAACACATACACATATTCTGGCTTTGCGTTCTTTACCCATTTTTATTCATTGTTTGTTATTATCTTATTTTTAAATTTTGATTTAATCAAATAGATTGCAAATATTTTGTTTGTTGCTTGGTAGAATTCTGTCTATATTGTCTTTTTTTATATTCTTATGCCATCAAATGCATGTTTTCAATTTTAGCTCTTAGCACTTGAGAGAGTTAAATGATTTTGTTAGCATCTATTCCCACAACCTCCCAAGAAGTCCTATAGTTTTTGAAGTTTGGTTTCTTTTTCTCATAGTTAAGCTAATTTCAATATTATTTTATTTGGAGAGGAAGTGAGAAAGAACTGTGACATGGACTAAACAGCATCTACTGATGTCAGTGGATGAAAGCAAATTTATATTGTTAGTCCATTGTCTAAAGAGCCAGACTTTATAACAATAATTTTCACACAGATATATAGCACTGTACTTTAATAGTGTTTTGAGCATACTATAAGTTTCAAATAGAGTAATTTTTGATAAACTAATAAGCATGGGAAGTTTCAAAATAGATATTGGATTTCCATAAAAATGTATTTCCAAGAAAACATACAAGTCTGAAGTGAGGCTTGGGAAATTTCATTAAGGAATTCAAGTGCTTCATAGACATACTGAAAGAAATGAAACTACACATTGGAAAATCACAGTGTTACACAACAACCACTTTTTGAAACATTGTGGGGTTTAAGGATCCACACATACCAAACAAGAGCAATGGGGAAAAAAAGATACATCATTTAACTAGTTTTTTTTTTTTTAGAGTTATTAATTTATTATTTATACAGTGTTCTGCCTGCATATGTGCCAACAGACCAGAAGAGGGCACCAGATCTAATTACAATGGTTATGAGCTACCATGTGGTTGCTGGGAACTGAACTCAGGATCTCTGGAAGAGCAGACAGTGCTCTTAACCACTGAGCCATCTCGCCAGCCCTTAACTAGTTATTTTACTCCACTGTCTGAGCTAGAGTGTGCTTAAGTGTATAACTGCTTTTGAAAGTGAATGCAGGAATAAAGAGTGCTTTTCTTTCAGTTAGAGTAAGGCAAAAGATTAACATTTCTTTCTCTGAAATGTCAATAGTACAAAGCATAAACCATGTCACTTTGAAAAACAGAAATGAATGACAAACAAAAAGTTACTACTTGGCACCATGCCCCTAGGCTAACCACCTGCAGGTAGGGAAGCAGTCCTATCTACATCACGACTCACACTTCAGACAATGATGTCAAGGCTCCCCCCAAAAATACTGTTCTGAGTTACAAAGTTGGAAAAGAAAAAGAAAAAAAAAGGGGGGGGGGCTTATTTGACTTTTTGAAAGATTCACATGTCGTCAAAATTAAAGATCTGTGTGTGTGTAAAAAAAAAAAAAAAGAAAAAGAAAAGAAAAACAGAAATGAGTTTTGTCAGGAACTGTCCTGAATGATTGCTGTAAGTTAACAAATACTGTAAAGATGAACAAATTGAGTATACCAGTTGTCATTTATAGACAAATGAACTTAAGTGTGTTAGATTACTTATTAAAATTAAAATGGAGTTGCACATCCAAGCTTCCAAGTGACTGCAGTCAATTTTTGTAGTTATTTAGGAAAAGCTCAAAGTGTCCAACATTCGGGGTTGATAACAACACTGCATACCTTCGTCACAAGATGTGAATATCGGAAATATTATAAAGTTATATTTTACACTTGGGTGGTATGAATTCCCTAGAAATCAAGATTTAATGACAAAATCATAGGGACTATATTAAATTGTATGCGTTAATCAAGCCCTAGTATTCCTCCACTTCAGAAAACCTGGTTTTATGGACACATGGCCAAAGGGTTAAAATTATTTCTTTACTTAATATATAGCATATAGCCCACACTTACAATTTCTAGACAAGCCTTAAGTCTACTGAAAAAAAGAGCCTGTGACTCCTGTATTCCCAGGAGACAGATGCTAGAACAATTGCCTTTCTATGTTTCTCTTGTTATTAATGGCTGCATTTTCACCTGTCAGGTTCACATAATTCACGAGACAAGTATTTCCACTATTTTATTTTGTATTAACTTTAGGCCACTATACAAAAGGTCTTTAAAATTCTCTAAAGAAGCTGAACTTTTGAATATCGTGATATGCCCCTTAAAAATAAAAATCAAAGTGCCAGAGAGATGATTCAGTGATTAAAAACACTTGCTGCTCTTGCAGAGGGTGTGGGTTTGGCTCCCATCATCCATATGGTGAGTCATAGCCATCCATAACTCTAGTTCTAAGGAATCCATTGCCCTTTTCTGACCTCCACAGGCACTAGGTACACATAAGGCACATAGGAACAAATGCAGACAAAGCATACACATGAAGTCATTACATCTAAAACAATTCAACAGAAAACATTTTTAAAGTGTTTTGCTTTGTTTTGTTTAGAGAACCGCTTTTGAGTAGCACAGGCTGTCCTTGAGGTTGCTATATAGCCAGAATATACCTTGAACTCCTATCCTCTGGCTCCTGAATGCTGGGATTACAGATGTAAGCCAACACCCCAGTGAAAAACAACATTTTCAAAACCAAAAAATTACCTTCTTAGAACTACATTTATTCAATACACAGGCTTAGGTTAAAATATTTATTCTTTTCTCTCACTGGACTTAGGTGCAATACAAATATTGTGGATCTTCCCAAAGTGTCCTAGGCATTATACAACCAGTGTCCAAAACCACAGACAAAACTATACATAGTCTATTTTCTTTCAGGTTTCATACGAGAGAAACTTGGATATAATTTCAGACGCTTTGAAAAAACTCTCTTTCATGACCAATATCATGAAAAATCTAGAAGACAAGTTCCTCTTAGTACCACTGTGTCTCAGTATGGCTCTCACCTATAAACACTGACTAAAGGACAGAGGGCAGAGAAGGAAATTCATTTATACAGTTCCCAAGGGGTGGTGGCAAACCACCATCACATCTAGAGAGGGAAACACCCATAATACAGGTATAGTGCAAGCAGTGTTTTTTGATTTTGTTTTGGTTTTAGTTTGTTTTGTTTTGTTTTGTTTTGTTTTGTTTTTTGACTCTTAGTTCTGCAAAACCAGGAATTATCACATTCTATGTAAGCACTCTATAATTGAGCCATATCCCAGCTCACAACTTTTTGACTAATTAAGGAAGGGAATCTTAAGCTGCTTCAGAGTGACTTCGTTATACACTAACTATGCATTCTAGAATCACGGTTTTGTTTTGTTTTGTTTTGTTTTTTCATGGGTTGATGCTATGGCTTCCAGTTCAGTTTTTTTTTTTTAATTTTATTTTTTTCTTATCAGTTACATTTTATTAACTCTGTATCCCAGCCATGTCCCGATCCCTCATTCCCTCCCAGTCCCTCCCTCCCTCCCTCCCTCCTCTCCACCATGCCCCTTTCCAAGTCCACTGATAGGGGGGGCCTCCTCCCCATTCATCTGATCCTGTTTTATCAGGTATCTTCAGGACTGGCTGCAAAGCTCTCCTCTGTGGCCTAACAGGACTGCTCCTCCCTTGGGGGGTGGGGAGGCCAAAGAGCCAGTCCTTGAGTTCCTGTTAGAAATAGTCCTTGTTCCCCTCACTATGGGAAACCAATTGGTTACTGAGCTACCACAGGCTACATCTGAGCAGAGGTTCTAGGTTACATTCATACATGGTCCTTGGTTGCATGTCAGTCTCAGAAAAGACCCTGTGCCCAGATATGTTTGGTCCTTGTGGAGCTCCTATCCTTTCCCCATCAGACTAACTCCCCTTCTTTCTTATGATTCCCTGTACTCTGCCAAAGGTTTGGTCATGAGTCTTTGCTTTGAAAACACTGCTACTTAGAGTTTTTCAAATGCGCTCAGTAGACTCCTGTCAATGTTTAATGTGCATCTCATCTGTCTTTCAAAACGAGGATTGATAATCTTACCCCATGTCCGCTCTCTTGATTATCTTTTTTAGGTGTATAGATTTCATTATGTTTATCATATCTTATAGGTCTATATAAGTGAGTATATACCGTGTTTGTCTTTCTCCTTCTGGGATATTTCACTCAGGATGATCTTTTCTAGATCCCACCATTTGCCTGCAAATTTCATGATTTCCTCCTTTTTGATTGCTGAGTAGTATTCCATTGTGTAAAAATACCACAATTTCTGTACCCATTCCTCCGTTGATGGGCATCTGGGTTGTTTCCAGGTTCTGGCTATTACAAATAAAGCTGCTATAAACATGGTTGAGCAAATATTTCTTTTGTGTACTTGAGCAAACTTTGGGTATATACCTAGCAGTGGTATAGCTGGGTCTTGAGGAAGCACTATTCCTAATTGTCTTAGAAAGCGCCAGATAGATTTCCAGAGTGGTTGAACCAGTTTACATTCCCACCAGCAGTGGAGGAGGGTTCCCCTTTCTCCACAACCTCTCCAGCATATGTTGTCCCTTGAGTTTTTCATTTTGGCCATTCTGATGGGTGTAAGGTGATATCTCAGGGTCGTTTTAATTTGCATTTCCCTGATGGCTAATGAGGATGAGCATTTCTTTAAGTGTTTCTCTGCCATAGAATCACGGTTTTAAGGATAAAAATTTTACATGAAGTACAGAGTTTTACTAGGAAGTAACTACATGAGACTTTCAAGTCTTTGTAACCAACAGCTTCAAAAAGAAAAAGAAAAAGAAAAACCAGTGGTTAGGTGAGGATGATATGAATACAGGAACAAAGACACTCAAAATGTCATAAACCCCATGAGGAAGTTTTACTACTACTCCAGTACTTACACTGAAAGCTAACACTTGAAATTCATGTACAAAAATGTTTCAAAGGATGTAAACATTAGTCTGCATTTGGCAGAACAAAAAGAGCCTAGGGATCATCCGGCAGAGTCCCGGGGCCTCTAGTGGGAACAGTTCTCCACCGATCTCTAGCTTCAGAAGAGCGGTTCCTGTGCAGTAAGGATGGTAAAGCGCCCCTGAGAGAGATTCACAGGGGATGATGGCACTGTGAGTATCCTCAGACACACACACACACACACACACACACACACACACACACACACACGACCAAGCAGACAGTACGGGGGTACAAAGACACTTCAGCAGCACTGGGACCGGGGTTTGGGAGTGAGGGGCTCCTCAACCAGTTTAATTTTGTCCATGTCGGTTTCTTCTTTAGGAAAGCGTTGCTGGTTTGCAAGCATGTTTTCCACTAGGAACCGGGTGGCCTCATCGATGTTTATATTATCCTGTAATAGGGGCACAGAAAGGAGAGATTAGTACTGGCTGTGGCCTTGGAAGTAACTGATGAGCACAGTAAGGGGACTAGGTAGACACACCAGAGGACACACTGTAAACACATCAGTTAACTTCTTCTCCAACTAGTGACTGTTACACTAAGAACCAAGCATTGGTTTAATTACTTTCCTATGCATCCTTTGAAAGCTCCACATGTGTACAAAAATGAATTTATTCCTTTTTCTCTTCTGCGAATCTCTCTCAAACATATACAGTCCCCTACCCTCTTCCCTCAAGCCCCTTCTTCCCATGAAGGCTCCCTTCTACTTCCAACTCTGTGTGTGTGTGTGTGTGTGTGTGTGTGTGTGTGATTCGCTGAGTTAATTAGGATCATTGCTGCAGCGTGAGTCGGAGGTTATTTATTGAAACACAGGAAACACCTTAATAGTTACATCACGTTTGTGACCTCAAGGGATGTCTTGGACAGCACTAGCCAGAGAATAGCCCTTGGCCTGGGTTTTGTGTAACCTCAACTTTTGCATTCTTGGTGGGAATGGAACCATATGTCTGCAAAGTGCAGGAGACACCCAGATTAAAGTCATTACTGCCAGGCTTCTTGTTGTAAAGTTGCAATTCCCCCTTTGGACTTAGTGAATACAGATAGGTAAATATCCTGTTTCTTCCATACTTTTGCCACTAACTTTATCATCTATTATCTCCTGAGCAATTATCACTGTGATATTGGAAGCTGGCCTTTCATTTGCACCAGTCCTTCTCCATTTACTAGTTAGGACTTGACTGTGAGAGAAAAAATGTATTTATCACTTGTTTGTGCACATCATGGGCTGTTATCAATTTTACCCACTAAGCCCATAGCAATTATACTTTACATTTGTTGTCCTATAATTTTGTGGTTTATGTAAGCAGGCACCTATGCTCTTTGTGATATGTCCACACTGTTTTGTGAATGCTTCCTTACTGTCTGGCAACACAGACCATCTCAATTTCTATTTCTATCATGTCTTCCTGCTGACATCTTCATTTTGTTTATTTAAAAAATTGTATATACAAACCAGATTGTAAAGACTAGGAAAGTTCATTTCTTATATGGTGTTACTGCCTCCAGTACTCTTGGCTGAGAAAGCTATTAAATACAGGTATAAACACACACACACCTTGTCACATATTTTTATATATTTATAAATATAAATATACATGAAAATAAGTGTACATATATGAACACACACATAGATATATAAATATGAAACTATTTACATTAATGTCCCCAAACAAATCCAACACTATGAAATGCCTCATTGTCTGCTTCCTTATTTGTACAAACTTTCTCAGACAGTGAGACTGTTTATTTAGGAGTGATGCTCGTGATTCATATTGCTTTCACAGTACTAACTGCTTTAAGAACTTTATTCTCAAGATAACTTTAACACAAGCAAAGGTCTTTGAATTTCCAGGTGTCTTTCAGTTCTTGTCATTCACCCTCATCATCAGCTACTCTTTTGTTCCTGCAATAAACACCATCATGATCAAGACAACTTATAGAGGAAAGGATTTTTGAGGCTTGCAAGTGGGAGATTACTCCATGTCAGTTCTCATGACAATGATGAAAGCAAGTGAGGAGAGGGCATGCATGAGGTGATAAGGGCAGTCTCAAAATGTTGAGTGATGGTCACAGAGTGAGTAGCCAAGGAGAGGCTCCTGGAGGCAAAGAAAGAGATCCCAGATGTATGCTTTTTTTTTTTTTTTTTTTTGATAAATATGGTATCTTATGCTGTCTTTAGTTTCAGGAACAGATCGTTGAAGTGGAAGATGAAGTTCAGAGGTTCTGTCACCATCATGGGCAAGCATGGCAACAGGCAGGCATGGCAGCTGGAGCAACCAGCTAAGAGTGAGAAATCACATTTTAAATCATATGAGTGAGGAAGAGAGAAAAAACTTGAAATTATGTAAGACTATAAAACTTCAAAACTGGTCCCTAGTGATGTATTTCCTCCAACAAGGTCACATCTCCTAAACCTTCCCAAATGGTTCCATCAATTGGATCTGTATTTGATATATGAGTCTATGGGGCTATTCTCCTTCAAGCAGTACGGCTCTGTTTTAGTGGAGCTGAGTGGGAACAGAAATGCCATATTACAGTCATATGAGTTCAAAAGTTTCATATTAGAATTCATTATGTACCACAAAGTGGAAAAGACTAAATTTGTGAACTCAAAAAACCTACTAGAATCCACATATCTAGAATTCAAACAAAATCCAAGTTTGAAGTTAGTTGCTGACTGGCTCAGAAGTACATTTATTGGTAGTACTTAAAACCTTGATTTAATTCTTTTCCAACTTTTAAAGTAAAAATTCATAGTAATGTTATACACTAGATTCTAGAGTCTAGGAGACTCCTGAATTATCACAGGAAATCAGGTAGAAGCTCTTTCTAGAACCCTTGAGGGAAGCACACCACTGGATAAAAATGTTCACTTATAATATGTTTGTCCTCTCTCTTCCATACTGCATCTTGGCTAAAAATGTAATAAAGCCAGTTGCTTATACAGTTTCAAATTATAGGTATTATGACAATCATTTATGAATTTTATAGGCAGATTTTTTTAAATTAAAATTTGTTAGCTAGAAGATAATAAATACTACATGGAATTTTAGAGGCAATTGTTGGTATAATATTCTTGTGGAATGTACCCTTGTTTATATAAATGCTGATTTCTCTACCTCACTATCTGATTTCAATCCAGACATTGCATTTTGATGCTTTTTCTAAGCATCACCTGTCTCAAGTGTGTAAACATGCCACCATTTGTTCTCTATATTGTCAATTAAACAACCAGCCCCAATGCTGAGCAATAGAGAGGATAGGGTGGGACATCTGGTCCAGAGGGGAGAGAGAGGAAGCAGGAGGGAGGAGCAGAGAGGTCAGGAGAGGAGAGAACTTAGAACCATGAGGAGAGATGATCCGGACCTAAGATATGACTAAAAGCAAGTATAATGGGTGAAATCTGAATGGTAGGAAACTATGTAGGTTTGGAGGTTTAAGATGGCGTAATCATTGCCCAGTATTGTGCTCCAGGTTAATTAAATAAATCCTAGTCTCTGTGTGGTGATTTGGGTATACAGCTGGTTTAGGACTAACCCCTGGTCAACTAAAAGATAAATCAATAATAAATATTAACCAACAACAACAGGCAATGTGGGAAATTCCTCCACGTATATATGTAGTTGCACACATTCCACTTTTCTATGGGAAGTTAAAGCAAATTGCCCAGCATGCACATGGGACAGAGAGAGGCACAGACCTGAAAAACTCAGTCTGTCCATGATGCTTTTCCTCCTGTGATTTGCTCCTTCCTGCCAGGATGAATAACTCCTGCAGCACCTCTGGGTTTCATCTTCCTCCTACCACAACTATCTGTTTATGAAACTAAGGATAGCATAAGATACCATATTTATCAAAACAGTATATGTCTCGGACCACTCACTTCTGTCTCCAGGAGACTTTCCTTGGCCAGTGACTCCATTGTCATAATTCAACACTTTGAGGCTGCCTTGTGATGTGATCACTCATTACTTGCTTTCATCATTCCAATGAGAACTGACATCAAATAATCTCCCACCATGAAGATAAGAGCCTAGTAAAGCTCAGGAAGGAGATTTGCAGAAACAATGGTGTGTATACATACACACACGCATACACATAAACTACGTGTATATGCATGTATAAATAATATATACCACACATATTATAAGCTGGAGCAGTATAAAGAATATGCAAATTTAGGAGTTAATGTTTATCATAGAATTTCTCAAAAAGTCATTATTTTTATGCAAATCTGATGGTTATTGAATGCTCTTATTTAACAATTCCAAGGTATACAACCCTCCAGTATTGTGTACCTCTGTTTTTTCTGTTTTGTTTTGATCTTGGTTTTCTAGTGTTCCTACATGGCTAAGCTTCTCAAACTTTATCCTAGTGATTTTATTTTCTAAAACAGAAAAAAAAAGCAGTTCCCAATGATAGCAGAATTAAAAGTCCATTCAATTATTTAGGAAGAAGCACATAGTAAATGCTGACAGTTTGATCTCTCTGAAAGCTCTCAGAGTTAATCCAGTGTGCTGGTGACTGTTCAGTATGAGCCATGCATTTGACATTTGTCTTCTAAAAACATTTCCTCATGTTCCTCCCCTTTTTCAAAAGTCAAAACGTGTTTGTCTTTGACAAAGCACCTTATCTCCCATTCACTCCAGTAGTAGCAGAGAAACACCTTGGTTAAGAACTCAAACTTGCAGAAAATGTCATGTGACTTTGCTCTGAACAACAGTGCTGTTCTTCAGTTCAGGGCTCAGTCAGCTGACTTTGAAAGTACTTCTGCACAGGGCGTGGATTAAGGGCAGGTCCTTAATCCCAGCAGAGGCAAGCAGATTGCTATGAGTTCGAGGCCAGCCTGGTCTACAAAACAAGTCCAGGACAACCAAGGCTACAGACAAACCCTGTCTTAAAACAAACAAACAAACGAAACAAAGCAAAAAGAAAAAGGAAAGAAAGCACTTGTGCTTCAGAGGGGGAGACTAACATACCCACACTATGCTTTCTTACTCTGGGCTTACAAAACTCCTTGCAGAAATCCATCTATACACTTTTCATGCCAGCTCAACCTGACAAGGACAACAGAAATAGACTCATCAGCAAATCCATCTCACCTTGGCAGAGGTTTCAAACCATCCAGTGAAGCCATGGTCTTTACAGAACTGGTCCATCTGGGAAGGACTCTGGTTGTTGTCCTTCTTCTGGTCACATTTGTTTGCTAGGAGGACAGCAGGAATGGGGCTGCCATTGGGAAGATGAACTTTATTATCCAGGTCACTTTTCCATTTTAAGACTGCCTCAAATGTGGAACTTCTTGATAGATCAAAGACTACAAACGCTCCAAGAGCTTCCTTGTAGTATACTCGGGTCATGTTGCCAAACCGTTCCTGCCCTAGAAATGAATACAAAAGGAGATTAAATGTGAGGGTCATATTAAGGTGCAGGTGCATGCTCAAAGATTCCAAAACCTATTTTGAGAAACAGGGACCTCTCACTACACTTCAGAATAAACTGTTGAGATTAAAGACATTCACCCAAAACTACGGTCCATGGACGTGGCAAAAGTAGCTGACAATTTGCTTGACAGGAGGAACTAATCCTTTGTAGGATATATCACCATAAACTTCAGGATGCCAGTACTGCAAGCAGCACAGAGAGCTAGTTCTGCCTTCTCTCCCCTTAGTCTAAGAGGAGACAGGCACTGGGGAAAACAGAAAGGTAGAAGTGGAAGAAGAAACAAAAATAGAATATTATGAAGTTTGCAGAATGCAGGTAGGTGATGTGGTAAAACGCCAGTCAGAAACATCAAGACTGGACAGGAGACAGCATAGCTTGTGATCTCAGTTCTCCTTCCCTTTCTATCTCTAGCCCATATCTACCTGCTTTTGACTCAGTCCAGAATGGCTCTCCTCTCAGAAACCAACAGCGGAAAACCTGTGCTTTCCAAACCAGCAGTGGCACAGCTGGTTGTGTGGTTGTGAGACAGTTCAGTTGCACAGTTCTTCAGATACAGTCCTTTGAAAAGAACTGAACTTCTGCTAAACACTGAGCAAATTTTGCTACTCAACAGAGAACCATCTGCATACCCAAACTGGCCTGCAGAACATGCTGTTTCTATCAGCTGCCAAACAAATCTTCCACATAATCTTCTACCAGTCTTTATCTGACAGACGAAAAGAGGGGCAAAAAGATGCCTGGTCCAGATCATAGTGACACTAACTAAAGGAGGCAAGCTTTCCGAGGATCTTGCAGTTGCCTTGCATTCTTAAGCTCATCTTTAGGCTGTCAAGTTACTGATGAGATACAGAGGGGGGAAATGAATGGCAAGCAGTAAGAATCTAAGATTATCACTATGATCTAAGACAAAGGCACTGTAGGAGCACATTTTCTTGTTAGAACACATGACAAGGAACAAGCTTTATCTATATTTTATGCTAAATCCAAATTTCTCCAAATTCTACAATGCCATTATAATTTTAAATGTGGGCTTGTGATTCTTCCTATGTCCAATCATTAGAATTTTATTGTAACAAATGGTCATATGTTAGGACCTATCATGGTCATATTTTATTGGTAAGATAAATCTGATTTTAGTTTATTTGTGTAGTTCATTAGATCATAATGCTGACATTTAAGAAAACTTAGTCTTGTAGCTTTCTCTATAAATGTACATTTAACAACTACACCATTATGTTCACTTAGAATATTTTAACAGTCCAAGTTCAAGGTCACCAGCTTTTACAAAAAGACTAGACAGATGTATTGAAGTTGTTTGGATTTCAACTTCTACTAGTGAGACTAAAGGAATCTACTGTTATGAACTTTAATTAATGAACATGAAAGAACTAGGGACAAGTAATTAGTCTCACTAAGATAGTCTTAGGTTAAAAAAGATGGAAATATTAACATTTCAGGGTAATTACATAGTTCCCAGCTTAACCATTCTTTGAATTTCAAAAAGATAAGGTGCCAAACTAGTAAAAGAATGGATAACTATATGTTCCAAAGAGCCACTAGGCTTCCATAACTCTTACTTTTTTAAGTGAATCTCCTGAAAAATCCCAAATAAGTTTTTGTTAATTGTAACCTGTGGTATTAAAAGAGGTACTCATATGCCCTTTCTGATAACTCATACAAAATCAGAAATGTCTATGGTAAGAGATTTGGGAGGAAGATATGTTGGCTTAGAAATGTCAGATAGTTTCTCTGAGATGTCAAGACTAAAAGGAAATTCTTCCTGACAGCCCTCACATCAGAAACTGTACAAAAACAAAAACAAAACAAACAAACAAAAACCGGTCTATTAAGTAAAAAAAAAAAAAAAAAAAAAAAAAGTGTCAGTTACACAATTAAGCAAATAAAAAGCATAGGAACTGACTGGAAGATCAAATGTCAATCACTTACCCAGTGACAATTTGCATCCAGAGTAAGATCAGAAAGAGGATTCTCAAGCAAGAAGAGAAAAGACCCAGTTAACAGAGTAATCAAAACATTAGAACAGACAATTGCCACAAAGCAGACAAACTCTGCCCATGCTGGCTTGGAACCTGATGAATTTTTAAATATGAATCAGCTGGGGAATGGAGGAAGCCCGTCCACAGTAGTTACGATGGGGATTAAGGAAGTCTTGCTTCCTATAGAGTGTGCATGTTCTGAATTAAAGCTTACATTGATAGGAAAATTGATTAGAATTTAGAGGTTCACCATTCTAACGGGTTTGTTGACAAAAAAAAATTTTCAGGAAGAACCCTTTGCAACAACTTCTTTGAGCAGTGCTGGAAGACGCATTATTGGTCAAAAGTGGAAGACAGGTGGAAGCATCCAGTTAGTCAAGCTCTCTTGTTTTACTGTGGAGAAAATGGAGTCCCAAGGAGACGCTCAAGTTCTCTGGGTTGATTGTACTACTGTGCTAACCAATCTGTTATCCAGACATTTGCTGGAATGGATATTTCTGCCTGTGTCCCCTGTGGCAGACGAGAGTCTTGTCAATGTCAGTAGCTAAGAGTGACTTCCTCAAGCAGAGTACAATATCATCCCACCCCCATCCCCAGTTATCTTGTGCTTTACTACAGCAGCTGAGGGAAGATCCCCTATTGCAGAGCGCACCAGTCACTCTGATGCTAGGGGCAGCCTTTGTCATCTGCATTGTTGCTGACATACTGACAGCACAATTTCAATGACTCTCAAAATGTTTTTTCTCTTAAACATTTTGTCTCTTAAACATGCCTCTGGAGGAAGGCATGTTGAGTATAACTTGAAATTTTGGCAAGCAGGAAGGATGAGAAAAGTAAGTTCAGAGGGAGTTATGCAGGCTCCAAATGTATGCAAATGCAGACATCTTAAAATATATAGGTTTGCAAAAGATTAAAATGTTTATCTTGCTATTTGGAGTACTCCACATTAATGACACTGAGGAGGGTCAAACAGCAAAATTAGTGTTTTTCCAGGTTAAAAAAAAAATTATATTTTGTTAAAACATACACAAAATCTTTTGCTTTATTTCTTTAATTGCCTTATCACACTCATTGTTTAACAATTAAACAAAGAATGTATTTCCCTTCAGATTTAATAAAGAAAACACCATATTCTGGTTTTATCAGAAGCACAATTTACAGAAACTTGATCTTGGGATTTTCATCATGACTTTTGCTTGGGCTTTTTCTCTATATTATATTTATGCCTCCTTCTCGATAATCCAAATGTTTCTAGTAATTAGTTGAAATTCAAAATATAAACTTGCTAACACAAACCATGAGTCAATAGACTGAAATGATGCTCAGACTCCCACTTACAGGTACTCACCTCTTCCCCATACACTGGGAGTTAACACGACTAACTCACTAACCAAACAAGGTGACTTGGAAGAGACATTCAATTTCTAATTAGTAAACAGAGGGTCTCTTACAGAAAATCCTTAAATCTCATGGTGCATTTCAGAGACAAAGCACTGGCAACAGTCAACCTCCAATCATAGATTATAAGAGGATCATTATGCAAATAAAAATACCTTGCTAATTTGTGTCCAAATTCATAATAGCTTTAAATGATTATGATATTGTTGTTAATCCTTTAAATAAATGTATTCAACTGGAACAAAGCATGTTTTTATATGTAAACTTCTATGGTGTCCATAAACTAGCCTCCACCAGAGACTTATGGCAACACAGAGCTGAAGATGGCATGATGGCACTTCTACGGAAGTGCTATGATGCTGGGAAAGGAAGTGAATCAGGACATAGTAAGTGTGAGTTCAAAGGAACATGGATGCCAGGCAGGCTGTCTGATGAAAAGATAAGCTCCTAGAGTGTAGTGGGAATGTGGGTGTGTTGCCAGGGTGCTACAGGGCCGAAGACAGAACAATGCTTCTCAGCTTTAGTAGATGATAGATGATAACCTTCCGAGTGGTTCAAATTCTGATTTGGCAGTTTCGCAGGATTGCTAATTGTTAGCCCCAATTTCCCATTATAGAATATTTTGGAGAGAGCTGAAGATCCAGTTTAAAACATGAGTCTAGGCATGCCATTTTACTGGACTGCTGAAACAGATAACACAGCCTTGGAATAACTGAGCGGTGGAAAGTCAGTTTTTTTCTGAGGACTTTATGGTATTATACATCAGTCCTGGAATGCCCAACCCCAGACTTGTGTGTGAAAAGGGTAACTCTTCTGCTAAATCAGGTTAGATGGACACATTTGTCAGATAAAGCCAAGTCTACAAGACAGAGCAAATGCTAAAGAATCTGTGCATGTCATTGACAGTAGATCCTAAGGCCCCTGTGGTTCTGACTCCAGATGATCACAACAGGAGCCCCAACATTCTCAGAATAACCTCAAGAGCAGTCACAAGCTATGGCAGGGATGCATAAATAAACTTTACAGAAAGAATCCAGTGGGGGAACATCGGGTGGGAGAGAATACAGGCTATCTGTCAGTTAAAATGACCAATAGAAACAATCAAACTACAAATTTTCTATCCACTTATTTTTTTCTATCTCTGCCTCAGAAAGCAGATGAAAGGGGCCATCTATGCCTGGATTGCTGGGTCAAAAGGAAAAGGGCTTTTGATGCGAACACTTGGATGGAATTCTAAGACAAGTTTCCTTGATTTCCGATCTCACCATTAAGAACTCTCCCACTTCCACAGTTAGACAGAGAAAATTCCATATGGAAAGCCTATGGTCAGCATAACGTACACACAATGAATACACTTTTTCCAAGAATGTATTTGAAAATAACACTTCATTCCTGGACTACATGGCTTCCAGGCTTCATCAGCGAGTGTTTACCAGAGACAAGAAAAACAACTATAATTATTGCTTAGATTTTTTTAAGGGTGTGTTCTTGTAGCCATAAATAGTTCATTGCATACAGAAATGTCCATAGTTTAGAAAATCTTTCAAAATACGTTTTAGAAGAATGAAGCCAGTCAAAACCTGTCTACTGTGGAATTTCTGAACTTAGGCAAATGACATGAAAATGTTGGAATGCGGGTAGGAAGAAATAGTAATTGTTATGAGTCTAGAATATGAGATAAACGCTCTGATTTGAATTCCCTCATTGCAATGAGAAACATTTTGTTGACGCCTGTACCAGCAAATCACTATGGTCTTTAATTCAAAGGGTTTGTATGAACCTGTTTGGCACCCTTTACAGAAAGTTTTCAGCAATTCTTGCCTATTATACTTCTCAAAGCTTTTCTGACTGTAGACATCATCTTTTTATGGCCCTGGTCCACCGCTACAATCTCCAGAACAACCATATTGAGAAGAAACTAGCAATTGAGTCATGTCACGTGGCTGGCTCTTCCGTTTGTTTTGCAATCAGGGAATACTTTTATTCTTTCAGAACTCAGTATGATTCAGTGCTGTAAATCACATATGGCATATGCTTAGCCTTGTGGGAATGTTTTGGCATTGTCTTCATTACACAACTTCTCCCTCATTAAAATGGTATGAGCTAAGTAGGGATCATCAGTAACTCAAATGTTCAAATCAAGCATAGTTGAGGGTGCAGTTCTGTAAGTTCTAGCCCAAATCCAAGTTATTTGTGTCTCTTCATATTTGCATATTAGAACATCTTGCCCCAAACTCTGTCTCTGAGAAAAGCAAATTAGTATCTTGTTACCTTATAAGTTTTTCTCTAGTTCTGTTATTTGTAGTCATGTATTTGCTGAATGCTACATGAGTTCTTCCTGCTGAAAAGCATCAGTTAACACCAGAGATCACTTTTGGAGACTTTAAAATGTTTCTTTCCTTTCCAACAAAGCTGGAGCTTCAGATGTTAGCAAAAGTAAAAGGATGTGTCATTATGGCAGGCAGATGGTCAATCTCTCCCTCCTGGCTATGGTGTCATTCAAGAAGAATGAAGCTGGGTGTGCTGGCTCACTCTTGTGCTGACAGTAAGAAGGCTGAGGTAGGAGGATCTAGAGTTGAAGGCCATCTTGAGCTTCACAGAGAGAAAGAAAAAGTGGGAAGGGGAGGCATGCAAAGAGCAGAGGTGATATGCAGAAAAAAAAATTCCCTTTTGGCCTTTCAAAACAGGGTTTCTCTATGTAGCCCTGGCTGTCTTGGACCTCATTCTGTAAACCAGGCTGACCTGGAACTCAGAGATTCGCCTGCTTGCCTCTTCCTCTGAAGTGCAGGGACTAAAGGCATGGGCCACCAACACCACAAACTCCTGCTTTTGTTTCCTCAACTCTCCAAACATAATTTAATAATTTGCACATACAAAATGAAACTGAATTGCCATTCTCAGCAGGGGTTTCAAAGCATCTCAGTGAAAAAGCCGCACTGGATACCCTACTGGCGACCATCACATGCCAAGGCAACCTTCAGGATGAGACATCAAGAAGCAATAGAACGTGGACTAGTGTTCTGGGTAGCAGCAGAAAGTGTTTCAAACAAAGCCTCTGGCTTTAAAGAATGATACTTGAAATGGATTCTTGGTTTTTGAAGAAAAAAACAAAACAAGCTGACATTGATTTTGAGGTACATAAATGTATCTTCTCATCTATATTAGACTCTGCTCTTAAGCAACTGAGTGTCAAGTTCATCAATACTTCTTCATGTGGAGTGGCTATAAAGAACAGAGTTATGACTGGCAGGCAGAGGTCATGCGTCTCTCCAGTCTACCACCAGCTGTGGTATAACCACACCCTCCAGGGACTTTGGGGTAGGCACTCTGCGGAAAGGACAGTAAGGTATTCTCCGGTTTTAAACAAGCTCCCATTCAAATGTCTCTTGGCAGGCAGAGCTTCTGAACATTTGCAATGTTTGAACAGGTCAACCTTTGCTACCATTTCCATTAAACTGAACAGAAGTTCACCTTTTGTTGAACCTGGATAGGGCTCCTACCACACTAGCTAGAACACAGGTGTTCACAAATCACCTCTCAAAGACAATGATTCTTACATTCCAGAGCAACAACTGAAAGCAAAAGTAAACAATTAAGTGCTTGTCCGATAGGGAGGTACCCAAGGGAAGACATAAATATTGGTTTAGATAGGCAGGCAGCGGGAAAGTTTCAGAACTTTCCCAACCCAGGGTCACTAGGCCTCCTAAGTAAGAGGAATTTCAGAAATGGAGTTTCCCCTCACAAAGGCTTGGCTGCTCTCCAAGTTTTTCTCACCCATAGTTCCAACCTCTCTTAGTAAATTATAAGGTTGTCTATCATTACTCAGAGGTAAAATATCTTGGCTCAGGAGAGAGAAAACCCTTACATCAACGCAGCACAGACTGAAGTCAGATGGGGGTGAGGGGAAGAAAGTAACCAGGTTTTGTTGGGTTTGGTTGCACCCGTATCCTAGTGGTTCTCAACCTTCCTAATACTGCCACCCTTTAATACAGTTCCTCATATTGTGGTGACCTCAAACCATAACATTATTTTTGCTGTTGCTTCACAACTGTAATTTTGCTACTGTTATGAATCGTTATGTAAATATCTGTGTTTTCTGATGGTCTTAGACAGCCCCTGAGAATGGGGTCGGGACCCACATGTTGGAAACCGCTAAACTAACCAGTAGTGGAACTTCAGGCAAGTCTTTTAGCCACCTAGAACTTCAGTAGGAGAGCGGGTAGGCCTCCCAACGCCGACCTTCCAGGGCCCTTTCAGCCTCTCCAGGCGTCACTTCCCGTTCCATTTGTCTACTGCTAAAAGCACAACCGCAGGGAGCTCAGGCAGAGAAAAGAAAAGAGAGGAACCAGGAGGCAGAGAGGAGCAAGAGTCTGGTGGTGCTGTGACCCTGCCCGCTTACCCGCGATGTCCCACAGCTGCAGGCGCACTAGCGTCCTGCTGTCCCAGTTGAGGACTTTGAGGGCGAAGTCCACGCCGATGGTGGCGCGGTAGTGCTGGGAGAAGAGCTGGTGCACATAGCGCTTGATGATGCTGGTTTTGCCCACGCCGAGCTCGCCGATGACCAGCACCTTGAAGAGGTATTCACGGGTCTCAGGAGCCGCGGTGGCCGTCGCCCCCTGTTGCCCGAGTCCCTCGCCCGCCATGGGCACCACTGCCGTGGAAACTTCTCTCAAGGCCAGCAGGGCAGATCCTCCGTCCGCGCACTCGGCGATGCTGTCCCGCCAGTCACCGGACCCGGAACCCACTGCGCATAGCTGGCCCGGGAGAGTCTGGGTGCACCCCGCACTGGGTGAGCCGGGCAGCAGCACTTCCTCTTCCCGCGCCACCACTCGCGGTCCATGGTGCCCCCTGCTGGCCTCAGACTTCACAGGGAGGCGGGAGGTTGGCGCGAGACTGAGCCCCTGCCCTTGATTTCTAGCAAAAAGGGAACAGATGACAGAATTTCGCAAAGGACTAAGGCTGGGTCCTATGATAAACCTAGTTTTAATGTGTTAGAGGAAGCTGAGTGATGCTTTCCGTTAATGACTTCAATTTACATCGTCAGCAATGGCGTTCGAGCTTTCCCGTTTCGCCACACCTAAGCCAACACTTGTGTTTTTGGTAATAGCTATCCTAGTAGGTGTGAGGTGATGGTAGCATGGGGGTTTTGATTGACATTTCCCTGATGGTTCATAATGCCAAGTTCTTTTGTTGGCCATTTGTATATTCTCTTAAGAAAAATGTTCATTCAGATGGCCTTGCCTATTGAGCGTTCTGTCAGTTTGGTGTAGATCACTGTGAACTCCTTAGTGTTTTGGATGTGGGGCTTCCATTTTTTCCCAATCCGTACATTTCTTAGTTTTGCTTTGCTGCCCAGCGAGTTTTCTAGTTAATGAATTTCCGTTTGTTTGTTTCTCCTTTAGCTTTGGTATGATTTCCAATACTGTTGCTAAGCTCAGTGCCAACATGTGACCCAGAAATACATACTTGAAGGACATACCCTAAAGAAATGAAATTAGGTTTTCCAGGGTGATACTTCTAAATTCATGACAGTACTATTCACATTAGCCACGAAGTGAGAATAATGTAAGTGTCCAAGAACAGAAGAATGGAGATTGTATTGAGTAAATGTACATATATTTACATATATGTTTGTGTATATACACAATGGAGTATTATTCAGTCTTAGAATGGATGAAACTAGAAGACATGCTGCTGAAGGAAATACGACTGGCATCGAATGAAAACTGCTCCACTATGTAACTTATTGTTAGATCCTAGATGCTTCCTCAATAAAGGGATTAGTCATGGCCCCATCACAGCCCCACCCTGAAGCTTCATGACCATTTCAGGCCCTTCACCAACTGGCAAAACTAGCAGGCAGCTGCTCCAAGATAGGATAGGACAATGTGTTTAGTCTGTTCCCAGGCCCAAGGCAATCATTTAGTGATTATCACTGAATGGGAAATAAGACTACACTAACCAATATGGTTAGTGAACATTGAAATGAAACACTGAAATGAACATTGAAAATCAGTGTTTCAAAGAAGTTCTGCTTGATGCTCACATTAAGAATCAGCTGGTGTATGGCTGTAATTGAAAGGCAGTGCTTTCTTGTGCTCATGATGCCGCCTTCACTTAGTTCACATGTTCTCATAAGAATATTTCTGTTCTGAGCGCATCTGAAAGACTCTAACTAGCAGTGTTTTCAAAGCAGATACAAAGACTCATGACCAAACCTTTGGCAGAGTACAGGGAATCATATGAAAGAAGGGAAGTTAGTATGATGGGGAAAGGATAGGAGCTCCACAAGGACCAAATATATCTGGGCACAGGGTCTTTTCTGAGACTGACATTCAACCAAGGACCATGTATGGATATAACCTAGAACCTCTGCTCAGATGTAGCCTGTGGTAGCTCAGTAACCAATTGGTTTCCCATGGTGAGGGGAACAAGGACTATTTCTAACAGGAACTCAAGGACTGGCTCTTTGACCTCCCCACCCCCCAAGGGAAGAGCAGTCCTGCTAGGCCACAGAGGAGGACTTTGCAGCCAGTCCTGAAGATACCTGATAAAACAGGATCGGATGAATGGGCAGGAGGTCCCCCCCATCAGTGGACTTGGAAAGGGGCATGGTGGAGATGAGGGAGGGAGGGAGGGTGGGATTGGGAGGGAATGAGGGAGCGGGACACAGCTGGGATACAGAGTTAATAAAATGTAACTGATAAGAAAAAAATAAAATTAAAAAAAAAAAGAATGTTTCTGTTCTCCATCCTTTTCTATTCATTTATGTGTCAGATGCACACCAAGCCTTACATGCTTACTGTAACTTTATTATGCAGGGTCTTCAAAACTGCATCCCTCTCTTCTATAATCTGTCCTATGTGCATGTGTACATGCCTGGATGTGTGTTCTGAGACCTCCTGTGATCCTTCAAAACTGGCTTTAACATTCTCGTTTTTATTTAATGTCAATTTTTGCAAACACACTGCCAGGCCTTTTGTCTATACTAGAGTGGATAAAACTCATTAGTTTGTGGAGAACTGAAAATCAATACAACATTAAAACTTTAAATGTGGTGCAATAATGATGCAGCCTTATAAAAATGTTAATATCTTTCAGTAATAAGATTAGGTTATAAATTTTATGGACTTATGTTAGTTTTGCTAGGCCCAGCATGAGCTTAATTTTTAGAAGCGATGAAGAGAACTCAGGAGACCAGATCTCATCTTTGCAAAATCGCAAGAGGTTTATTTTAACCATTGTGCAATGGGGTCCCCCCTGCCGGTCAGCAAAGAGTGGCACCAGGAGACAAAGACCTTGGGTTTTTAAAAGACAAAGCGTGGAATTTTGAAGTTGCAGTCTTGGCAATTTAGGAATGGATGAGGAAGCTATAAAGTAAGATAATTGGTTAGTCTTAGGTGCTCAAGCTTAGCCAGTCCTGCCAAGTATGGATGCAGCTACAATTAAAGGTGGGGGTTGTTAGCTCACCCTTGAAAATCAGGGCTACGGGCTTTTAGCCAGAGGTCAGGAGCTACTCAGAAGGAGGATTAAGGCCATCTGGGTTGGTTGCTAAGAAACACTATCTCGAAGACAAGGGTCTGATCATTCTTTTTGCTGAAAGAAGGTCATTGCTTGCTCGCTTTATATTTATATATATATATATATATATATATACATTTCTCCATTCTCTGGAAAGGTACTAAGAGGCTTTAGCTTAACCTGGACCTAAAACTCAAAACTATAGGCTTTAGAAGACATACAGGTTACAGAGTTAGTTTGATCCTTTCAGTTTTACAAAGCAATTCTATAAGTATGTGTATATGATGTGGTCAACGGCTATGCAAGAGAAACAACAAAACAGCTCTAGAACTCATGGAATGTGGTCCCACCAGTTAGCACACCCACAATAGATTTGTCTTGGAGTAGCAGAAACCCAAGAACTATGTGTCCTGAGGACTTGATGCTGTTATGGAGCTTGTTGCCCCTTTGGCTACCACATCCCTCATTGTGTGAAAATTCTAAGGGGGCTTCCAGCCCTTTGCTGGGCAATATTACTGGCACTCACAATAACAATACTTGATCTCTTTCAGGCATTGCTGTGGGAGCAGATTTATGACTTAACCACCACCCTTGAAAAGAACTTACTGATGTAGATTGATATCAGTGACCACTACCCTTGGAAAGAATTTGGAAAAATAGATTGTTTAGCACAGTTAGGTAAAGATGTTTTTGCTAAGAGCTCTGATGCAGAAAATATTAAGGAACAATTTGAAATTCAGAAAAGAGCACTCTCAATAGCAAAGCCAGGAACTTTTTGAGGCTAGTAGACAAATACAGTAGTCCAGCGTAGTACTTTACACATTACAATCTTTACACTCTCAATTTTTACATTTTACAAACTTTTACACTTTACACACGATGGTGACTGAGGTGACAATTTCATTATACTTGTTTTTGCCTTCAGCTTTCTGATATAATCTAATAAAAATTACTAATGAGTAAATTTAAATGTAAATTAAATCTTGAAATTTAACATAGAAATGGCTGCTTATTTTTTATATAAAAGCTTAGATTTGTTATTCTCTTAAGACTCTTATAAGATTACCTTTTAAGATGATTGATTCTTTCTTTGTAACCACAAACTGTAGCTTGCCAGTAAAGAAAAGCTGACTGAGAAATTACCTTGCTTGCTTACCTTGTTAATTTGTAATGAGTTGCTTACAAAGGTATATGGGTTCTTGGAAATAATTTGTTTTTTACCCATAATATGTAAAACATTTGATCATGTAAGAGTATTGGGAAACATATTTTTCTTATGTATACTCATTGTAACTGTTTACTTAAAGAAAAATAGAATGTAACCACGTTGTGATTTTTGTACTGCTTGAAAGATTTTGCTCTGGAGAAAGGAATAAAAACATGATGTGGAGAGTGCTCTTTGGAGTTTGTTCCATCCATCAAATGTATATATGTATTATGTGCTGTTGAAGTTGGAATCTGTTTCCATCTGCCCAGTATGTGAATGTGTGTGAATGTGTGTGTGTGTGTGTGTGTGTGTGTGTGTGTGTGTGTGTGTGTAAAATAAGAGAAATTTGAAAGAAGAAGCTTGTTGGAACCTACCTGCTGGAGTCTGTCTTACTTCCTCAAGTGTAAGTGTGTATGTATGTGTGTGGTCTTTTTCTCTCCCCTCTATCTTTCTCTTTTAGACGCTTTGCCACTATCAGTGGAAAGTCCCCGCTAGAACTAATGGCCCTAGCCCCGCTTTCTCAATACTCTTACATGATCAAATGTTTTACATAATAAGTATAAGCCCACTCCAGGAAGCTACCAGCACTGGCTTACCACCAGTATTTTAATTCTGTCCCCTCAGTTTGCCACTATCAATTGGAAGCCATGATCCATAACTATCAGTTCTGACCTGGATAGACTTGTGTATAATAAATTAAGATTAAATTATTGTAAGTCTAAGCATTTGCTTTTAGAATTACATTATATGCTTATGTATTGACTGATTCTTTTACTTGCCAATATCTATATGTTTAATTCCTTCTTTATCCTATTTTCCTTTCAAGGACTTCCAATACAATTTTATTTAAAATGGAGAGACTACAGAACCCACCTAAAGTATTTTATGTGTATTTGTGTCTTGCCTATATTCATGATTGTGCATCACACGTTTGGTACCCACAGAGACTAACAAGGGCATGGATACCCTGAGACTGTAGTTACATGCAGTTGTGAGCTGCCGTATGTATACTGAGAATCAAACTCTGATCTTCTAGAAGAAAAGACAGTGCTCTATTGCTGGGCTATCTTTCATCCTCACCCAAT